CCACATACGCAGCGGGAACGGGATGCAGAGGCAGGGCGCCCAAACACAGGGGGGGGAGCGCTGTGCGCACACAGACACCAGCAGATGTTTCCAAATAGGACCAGCACGTAGAATCAAAGATGCAAAAAAAAAAAAAAAAAAGGCTCGCACACGGGTAGAGAATGCACACACACACACAGAGAGAGAAAGAGAAAGAGAGGAAGAGAAAAAATTTTGCTTCTGCTACCCCCCCCCCAAAAAAAAAAAAAGCCGATTGTGGGAGAAAGCAATTAAACTACTCTTTGAATAAAAATTTAACCCTCACGTGCTCCCTCGTCTATTGCCATCGCACGAACACCCCCCACCCCTTCTGTTCCATTCCCCTCGGGGAGTTGTGTCCTCTATTTCCTCCGCACAGCCGCAAAAACAACAACAAAAACAAAAAAAAAAACGTTTTCGGTCCCATACAATCAACAAAAAACCCACAAAGAAACAAGTCAGTGAGTGCGCACAAACACACAAAATCGCTGCAATATATATATATATATATATATATATATATATATATATATTGTTGCGGCACACATACAGTTACAAATAAAAACAATACGTACGCTCAGTCACGCAGGGCAACAAGAACAAAAGAGGCATTTTAAATACATCACAAAAAACGCAGCAACAAACAGACATTATTAATAATAATAATAAAGACGCTGTTCATATATATATATATATATATATATGGAATTCACAACCAAACGGGATACGCTGGTCGCCATGGAATAAGGTTGTTCAACAGCCATGAGAGGACAAATATAATAGACACGCCAATCAACACAGGGAATATAACAAAAATGTAACCCCCATCCTTCTGTCCATTTTCGTAAAAAACTGCACTCACTGCCGTTGCCGCACTGGACGGTTGAAACCAACCAAAAATATGACAAACAGGTGCAAGAAAAGCCACGGCAAACACACTAGCCAGTAAATGCCCAAGGGGCTGCTCAAGAGACTGCGTTGCATGAGCAAAAGAAAGGCCAATCAGCGCGGCAAGAAGATGTGAGCCTAACAGTGCCTGTGGTTGCGCCCCGGGTGCAGTTGTAAAACAAGCCGTCAGAGCGCACGACGCCGCAAACGCCGGCAAGTACGCCTGTAAGCCGTGCGGCTCGAATCCATACACGTCGGCAACTCCCAGCGTCAACATGATGACTGTAGAGAACAAAAAGGTCGGGATGAGGTCGACTGACGGAGCAAAAAACGGTGGCCCTTTTTCTCCCGCCCCACGCAACCGCCTAAGATACACCAAAAAGAAGCGACTTGAAGCACACTCCTCTCTGGGTCCCACCGTAGAGCTGCTAGTGGACACGGGTGCGTTTACAAATTCCTCCCCAATCGCTTCCATTGCCATCCCAGTGTCATCATCGTCCCGTGAGAAGGGCATGAGCACGACATTTCCGCTGCCGCCCTGCTGGCCTTCTTGCATCTCCTCACTGTCATTCCTTAACATCTTCTAGTTGTTTACTTCCCCACCACCACCACCACCACCTCCTCCTCCTCCACCCCCCTTAATGCACCAGACACACTAATCGCACAAAGACATGTATGTATATATATGTATATATACAAAGGGAAAACACGGAGTGGAAACGGCAACACAACACGAATGAACACAGACACACAGAAATACAAATAAACACACACACACACACACACACACACACGTGCACTAAAAATAATTAAAAAATAAAAAATAAAAATAAAAATTTAACCAAAAAGAAAAAAAAGAAAAAACAACAACAACAAGAAAAGCCACAACTCAAAACGGCCTTCCCACATTCACCCCTCCTCATTTCCATTGCCCCTTCACTCACACACACACAGTCACAGTCACACACATAGATATATATATCAAACGCGTTCTTCTACTACCGCCGGGTTCCACCAGCAAAAAAAAAAAAAAAAAAGAAAAAAAGGAGAAATGGGTCAACGAGATAATTACTAAACGCATATAAGTCAACATCCACTCTGTTTGGTAATAATATAAGAGGAAAAAAAAGAAAAAAAAAAAAAGTGGTAAAAATAAAAAAAAAGAATTGACTCGCCTCCCCCTTCAATATCAAAAAAAAAAAAAAAAGTAAAGTGTTATATCGGCCGTCCACGCTTCAAATGAATGCCTTCTGCATGACCCTCCTCGATTCCAAAACAATTTCTGGAGGCGGCGCCAAGTTCCAACGCCGTCAATTTGCATCAATTATATGGGAAATGGAAAAGAAAAGAAGAAAACAAAAAAAAGGGGGCCATAAAAGGACATCTAACAACAAAAAAGAAAAAGGGATAAAAAAGGAGAAAGAGCAAACTACGCACAAAGACACAGGCATGTGTCAATTTTCTTCTTTTCAGCATTTAAGTGCACGCATCCTCTCTCTCCCTCTCTCTTTTTCCCACCCTCATTCTTTGAAGGTGTAAAACGTTGTTCGATGTTCACAAAAAAATAAAAGAAGAAAAAATCCTTTTACGCGTTCGAACACTTATGTGCGTTCCCATTTGTTGTCTTATATCCGGAACTTCGAATAAACTCCTGGGCTTCCTCTGGCCCGCACGAACCCGCCGCGTAGGGCAGTACCTTCACCTCCCCGCGTTCAATGGCGTGGAGAAGCGGTGTGTAAATCCGCCATGCAGCGTCCAACTCGTCTACACGAACAAAGTTGGTCGAGTTCCCGAGAAGAGCTTCGTAAATAAGACTCTCATACGCATCCGGAAGTGTAACGTCGTAGCGCCGCTCGTACGTGAGGTCAAGTTCCGTCTGATGAGTATCGTTCAGCAACCCCGGTGTCTTTGCAGTGAGTTTCAGATACATCGCTTCCGACGGCTGGGCGCGGATCACAAGTTCATTGCGCTGCGTGCTTTCACCGAAGGGACGTATTTCGTCCTTGAACTGAATACGAATATCAAGCAGACGCTCTTCGAGTGCCTTTCCGGCCCGGATGATAAAAGGGACACCGTGCCACCTGTCATTGTTCACGTGCAGTCGAAGCACAGCAAAGGTGGGGCAACGGCTGCCCTTCGGTACAGAGGGGTCGTCAAGGTAGCCAGGTGTGGAACCATCTGCGGACGCCGTGTACTGACCCAGCACACACTCTGCTGGGTTCGCAGGGACCACCTGTCTGAGAACCTGGACCTTTTCATCACGGATGTCCTCAGCACTGAGTGAACGCGGCTTTTCCATCGTCAATAAAGAAAGAATCTGTGTGAGGTGGTTCTGGATCACGTCACGGATGATTCCAATACTGTCAAAGTACCCACCACGTCCCGCCGTGCCGATTTTCTCCTTGAATGTAATTTGGACGCCATG